ATTTTTCATTTTTTTTTATATATATATTATTATAGTAATCAAATTTTCAATAAATCAAATTAGCTCAGTCTGTAAATCTAGTGTTAAAAGGGAAGATCACAGTTGGTAATCATTTGATATCAACACACGGTATAATATAAATTTTTCAATAATTAAAAACAAAAGAAACAAAAAAAAAACAAATGCATGTCTTTTATAGCATATTTTAGATATTATATATATCATGGTGATCGATTTACAAGACCACGGTTATATTTGTAATTAGTCGACGTATAACGAGGATGTCAGTTACGTTAAATTTTGATTGTGAAAATATAGACGCGATTGTTTCTTGGCTTGTTTTAATTAAATTCAAATCATAATTGTGAAAAATATAATTAATAGTTTAATCGCGTATGCAAGAGGAAAACATGGAGCCGGTAAACGAAAATAAACTTGATGAGATTTACGCGTGGTTAGATCAGATTACGTTTTCAAGACCGAAAAAAAATATATCCAGAGATTTTTCGGATGGAGGTATAATAACGTCGTGACTTTATTTTTTTTCTTTCTTATTTTTCTACAGATATTTTGTATCTATGTTTCGAATTTTGTAGTATTTATGGCTGAATTATTGAAACGATATTATCCAAAGTATGTTGACCTGCATAATTATGTACCCGGCAACAGTGTAGCAAAGAAAATTGATAATTGGAACATATTAAATAGAAAGATTCTTTCTAAAATTGATATGAAACTTGGTAAGGATGTAATCAATCAATTGGCTAATTCACAATCGGGCATTATAGAGAAAGTTTTGATAGATGTGCGTGCCAAAATTTTAAAAGATTGTAACACCGATCAAGATTCTTTATATTTTGATTACGAAGAAAATGGAAGAGTTGGTAAATAAAAACTATATGTTAATCATATAATGGAATTGACTTAGATCATATCCTAATAAATGTCCAATATTTAATTACTATCTTATACTAAAGCTGATGTTAAACCGATCCTTAATCCTGAAGAAGTTGCTAATAGAACAGTACCACGTCATATTTTCATACGACTCAAGCAAGAATTGCAAGAAAGGAATGAAACTATTAACGCTCTTCATCAAAAGATATCACATTTGGAAAGTTTGATCAAATTGAAGGATCAAAGAATAGTGGATCTTACCACACAAGTTAAAAGACCGATGGCAGATGCATTGACTCCTCGTATTAATGTTCCAAACTATGAGATTACTAAAGTACGAATAAATACTTGAAAGATTTATATATAAAACAAACAAAATAACAATATTATATTTTAAATGCAATCATATAATTTATGATTTGTACATGTTTTATATCTATTTTAGCATATAAAAGTTAGTACGTATGGTTTTTGTTAAAAAGTTTGTTCGATAAAAAAAAAATCTTTTTCTCTTCTTTCCTCAACGCTCTCCCATATTCTTTCATTTTTCTTGTATACTAATTTCTAATATACCTTAATGGATATAACTTTTACATGGGTGCTCTCATGCTAGGCGGTGATACCAAAATAACACCGTCACCACGAATAAATAACATAGATATATTCCTTTTGGTAGTACGATAAACTTCCTCATATGTTTCTTCGTCAATTTCTACAGTTGTTACAGTTTCCTCCGCTTCACCTAATACCATATTCAAATGTTGATCATAAGCCTGAAAAAAAAAAAGAAAAAATAAGAAAATATTAAATATATATAATTCTATGTTTTAATTAGAAATTTAAATACGCTGACAAAACTTACATGTAAACGTCCTCGTAATTCTCTTTCATTTCTCATTTTAACGTAAATTCGTTCATCCAAACTTAATCTTATTAGATCCAATGGTTCTTTAACATTTATTGCCGGAACCTAATCATCAAATCAAATAAATAAAAATGTAAACATGTTATATAGAATGTTGAAATAATTTTTAGGTTAGTTTAGATAGAATATGAACGAAGATTTACCTGTTCCGTTTCGTCAGCCATAATATAATTATTTATCGAATAAAAAATAATAAATTAGAGTAAATTATATTTGAAATAAATCTTGTCTCGATTTAATATTTTTAAATGATACATATAAATATATTTTACTCAACGCATCGTACTTCTTCCTCTAAAACAGGAAGTATCAATCGCCAAACCGTTAGGCGGGAAAATAACTGAATTCAAATTAATACGTGAACTTGTCAAACCATACGACTTTCTCTTTTTAATTTGAAAACATTTTTACAACATATTGTAATGATCTTTAACAAAAGAAATAATACAATCTAGAAAGAAAAATGTTGTAGAAATTTTATTTATATCAATGAAATAAATAATATATTGCTTGAAAATATATTTTATTAATCAATATGACAGATACTACTATTATTTTTCATATATACAAACCACGTGAATATACATATCTAATTATTAATAACAAATTTTGAAAAGAAATATTTATCGATCTCAAGGGGGCTAATATTAAAATAATTGACCCTCTTTTTTTCAATGTGAAAATTCTATTACAATCTATTATATTATAAAATTAATTTCATAAAGAGAGAGAGCCTGATGATAGGCTACACTTCATACATGCATGCATGCATGAAAACTATCATTTGCGCGAAACGTATATAAAAAATCATTCAATTCCACGAAAGTTTAGGTAATAGTACAATATTAGATAGAAACTTTACTAGTTAGTTTTATACATAACTTGTGTGTACGAAGAATTTAAATAAATATTTCTTTAATAATTATTACACGTATATGTATAAACAAATTATTTACGTGCATTTCAATGTACAATATATATAGATATATATTATTTTGTAAAATTGTATTGTTAAATATATATATATATTTTGTTTTACATATTTCGTTTACAAAAATTGTTTTATATAATTACATTATATTGTTAAATATATATACAAAATGATATATGAAAAATTGATTGATTACATTTATCTCTATATGCAGTAATTAAAAAAAGATATATATATATTTTATCACTGTTATTATCTAAAATTAAAAAATGAAACAATATAATTTCGATATTGTGCATTAAATAACGATTCGATGTTACCAAAAGTCGAGGTATAAAACTAGTTGTAGTTGTTACAAACTTGAAATGAATAAATATTTCTTCCTCTCTCTCTATCTCTTTCTCTCTCTCTCTCTCTTTCTGTCTGGAAGTTTTTTTTTTTAAGTATGCCGCCGTTTGTAAGACGTAAATAATGTTGAAATAAATCAGCACATTAATTCAATGCTCGTTCGCTCAAGCAACCAACCAACCAACCAACCAACGATCATCGTTTAAGCAATTTTATAAATTCATCTGTAAATCCTGTTTAACAATAAGCTACAAAATGCATCTCTTCCTAGAATCATACATGTATATATATATATATATATATATATATATATATATATATATAAATCATATATCAGTAGTAGTAGTAGTAGTTACACGTATGCATCATAGGCGTGCGATTGCACCGTGCGTACACTCCTCGGAGAATCCGTTTTCATAAATATAAAATACTAAAGAGAAAAAAGAAAAATAAAAAAAAAAGAAAAAAGAATAAGAAGAAAAAAGATATAAGCAGCCAAAGAAGTAAGTAAGTAAGTAAGTAAGTAAGTAAGTAAGCAAGCTGACGCTGACGATGATGATGATGATGATGATGATGATGAGGAGCGGCAGTGGTATCCCATTGTCGTTGCGTCAGCTAACCCAAGCAGAGAGATGTTTGGTGATTGGCCAATTAGGAATAGTGGGAAATCCCCGTCCGTTGATATACCTGCTGGTGGTTCTTCCGTCTGCCTTGCTGAATGTTGTGTTGCGCGCGAGTATGAACGGCGCATGTACGGCACTAGCTAGCTAGCATACACATGTAGAATGACGTCCTAAACGTTCTCGCGCGTCATCATCGTAGTTTCAAGATTTTTACCCTGAAGGAGAACGAACGAACGTAGACGACTATCGTACAGCAATTAGTAACGCACGAAACGCCATTCACATAACACGTTTTATTTCCAACTCTCGCATATTCAACTTTCCTCTGTCTCTCTGTTGTGTCTGTGTGTGTGTGTGTGTGTGTGTGTACGTGTATATGTGTGCACGTGTATATTGTTCGATTCAAATTTGTGAACATATTCCGATTAATTCACGGTATCGTTTTTCCTCTTTAATTTAATCCTTTATTCATTTTTCAATAATTTTATATTCATTTATTATTATATATATATATATACTTCTTTTTTTTTTCCTCTTATTAGATTTATACGTTATATTTGATATTCGTTTTAATGTAAATAATATGCGAATTTTTATTTTAAAAAAAGTATTAACTCCGCGTATAGAAGAACTCCTACGGTTTCTACGTTAGCAATATTTATGTTAATTAACAGGAACGATTTATTTTCTTGCGATACCTGTCTTAGTTTGAATAATTGCGCTTGGCGCGAAACATTACCTACGATTGTATATGCACGATAACAGAAAAAAACCTAAATAATAATATACGCACACACGCACGCACGCACGCACGCGCGCGCGCATATTATACACACATATATATATATATATATAAACATATACACACCTAGTTGGATTATTCGTTTCAATTTAAGTGGAAACCACCGACGTGACAATTTGTATCCAAAAAAAATGAATTCATATGATAATTATGATAGGACGAACCTTTCGGAGGTCAGTATATATATATCAGAATAAAAGTATATTTTTCAAATGGAAAAGAAAAAAAGAGAATAAAAATGCATATTTTTCATGCATTTAATTCCTTTTTTTTTTTTTTTTTTATAGGTTTGTTCTACGGTTATGAACTTAAACGATGAAAACGAAAACAACGATCATTTCTTATGGAACATGGATACACCTGTTAACAAAAAAGATAATTCGATTTATAATTCTTACGAGCCTAAAAGGAAAAAATGTTCTCTCGGTAAATAAAAATATTTATTTATAAAGAGAATTATTATTATTATTATTATTATTATTATTATTATTATTATTAAAATATGATATTTGTGTATACGAGTAACTGGTAAAAGTATTTTTTCGCGTGTTACTCTTTTATATTTAATTATAATTGTTAATTATACGATTAGGTGAAATTGAATACGTTGATGGAACCGATTGGTGTAGAAAACCGATGAAAACTTGGTGCAAACAGGAAACGATAAGTTGGTTAATGTCGGCCGCATCTTCCATAGGATTACCATACAGATCTATCCAACAAAGTCTTGCGGTTTCCGGGGAAGAACTTGCCGCTATGACACGCAATGATTTCCTCTTTCACGATCCAATTTACGGTGACAAATTGTATTGCCATCTTCATTCTCAACGAGTTTCTAATTCACGTACGTTTTTTTACATTCACATTGTATTTCTTTTTTTTTCTTTTTTCTTTTTTATCTATTAACAACTCCAATATAATAATTTTTAATTATTTTAAAAATACATACATACATACATACATACATATACATACATACACATATGAATAATAATATTTTCGAAGGATATGCAATTTAAAAAATGAAAGAAAAATTATATATATGTTTACGCGTTTTCTTGACTGTTTGCTTTTTTTTTTTTTTTATTTAAGTTCCACCATTTGAGGCAATACACTCACATTCCGAGGACGATATGGCACAAATGTCGTCCAGCGGTATATCCGGTAAATGATAATTTATTATTATTATTATTATTAATATTATTATTATTATTTTTATTATCGTATATATAAATCTATACGCGAATACTTATTTTTTTTCTCTCTCTCTCTTTTTTCTTTTTCCTTTTTTTTTTCTCTCTCTCTCTCTCCAACCCCCTCCCTCCCCTCCCCCCCTACCACTACCTCCTCCTTAGCTTTACTTTACTTAAATGATTCACGATATATTTATTTCGTAGACGCGGAATCAGATAATTGTATGAAAATTACGACTAAACGGCCACCGGGAAGGCCGAAAATATTAAAAACGAAGAAAAATGGTACGTCCACTATTTATAATTCTTTTTATTTTTGATATATTATTATTATAATTATTATTTATGAGACAAATAAATCCTTTTTATTTGTTTATATTTATTTTCTTTTCTTTTTTTTTTTTTTTTCTTTTTTCTTTTTTCTTTTTACCCATCCTTAGTAACAGGCCAAGGAAAACTTTGGGAATTCATTAGGGATTTATTGCGCAATCGAGAAACTTGTCCCAGTTTAATTTGTTGGGAGGATTATTCCCAAGCCAAATTTCGATTCGTTAAAAGTGACGAAGTAGCGAAACGCTGGGGCTCCAGAAAAGGAAACACTAAAATGACCTACGAAAAACTTAGCCGTGCCATGAGGTTTTTAATTATTTCATTTTGTTTCTTTCTTTTTCTTTTCTTTACGCACACATTTTATTTGCATTCATTTTTCTTCTTGTTTGTTCGTTTGTTCGAATGCATTGTTTAAACATCATTTAACGTATTGATTTTGAACTAATGTTTAAACTTGTTTAATCCTTCTTTGCATGATGATGGAAATTTCAATCATAATATTTAGTCAACAAAAAAAGGTATTCAAAACCCTTGTACTGTATATTTGTTGTTGCTGGCAACTTTTTAAGCGACTATTGCGTACAACAAAACGCAGTTGTCAAAAAATAGCGCTAGGATTTTTTTAAATATTTTTCCTTTAATCTAGAGCATTAATTACATCAGTCTGATTTATTTTAAAAGAAAAAAAAAAATCATGCAAAGAAGGGTTAAATCTAAATGTTTGTTTTAAATATTTTTCATTTTAATCGAAATACATTTTTGTTCTTTTTTTAGATATTATTATAAAAGTAAAATATTTCAACCAGTGCTTGGTCGAAGATTGGTTTATCAGTTTGGTCCTAATGCGAAAGGGTGGCAGACTGACAATCCTAATTTCCGATATTGATATAATTATATATACATACGTACACACATACACACACATACAAAAAAACACATTAATTTTAATTAATTAGTATATAAGAAGCGAATGAAATAAATGATTTGATGCGTAATTTTTGTAATTTAAAACAAGATATTCATATTTTTACAGCGATTGCAAATATCCCCGATTGTTATACATATTTAATTAATATATATATATATATATATAAGTCACAAAATGAACCCCTTGTCCAACAACAACGAGTGAGACACGTGATAAGAAATTTCAATTAAAAACAATAAAACACGTGTCTGACTCGTGGTTCAATTGTTCTCGAGATATTTTTATTAATTTATTAATTATGTATAATATTATATTCGTAACGTTAACATCGTTTAGGTTTAGAATTTTGTAAAAGAATTAATTATGTCAGTACAAAGTAAAATTTAATATCGATGATAGTAATTTAATTGTTTATTATAATCCGAACAATTGGAAGTTTAACGAGTAAAACAAGGGGTTGTTGTTTGTATTGTTACATATTTTTCAAGATAAAAATCGAAAAAGAAAAAGAGAAATAAAGAGAATAAGAGAGAGAATTTAAAGAGAGAATGATATAAATAAGTAAGTACTTATATTGTGTTGCATTTTGTCTACGTTACATGTAATTCTTACGTTCTATATATATATATAGGTATATATATATATTCGTATAATTACTTAATTTCAAATAATTGATTATACAGTCAGTCTTTCTTTTTTTTTTTTTTATATATATATATAAGTATCATTTTGATTATAATTTATTATATACGTTTTCTGAGTCTTACCCGTAATATAATATATGCTATTGTATCTAAAACAATATACAAAATGATCAATACGATCATGCAAAACCAATAATCAACTTGTTTCATGCCAACTGCTATCATTAATTGTTTGGGCATGGCAAAATGACAATATATATCTGAACAATGCATTTTTGGTCTATCGTATCTGAAATTTAATAAATACAAAAATATCAATATTAATTGTTACTATTATATAAATTATAAAGAATAATATATATATATATATAAATTACCCATAAATCGTAATCATTGTTCCTTCGAAACCATATTTTAGGAAAGACATGTGAAACAACCAATGCAAATAAGGATGAGCATCGTTAAGGTGTACAAAAAATCCGCTAAATATTGTAAACGGTAGTATTATAAGCGGTCCGAATATCACACCATTCTACAAAGTTGACAACTTAACATTGATTATGGCAATCGGTGCTAAATTTAGAATTATTAATCTACTGATAAACAATTTAATTTGAACAAACCTGTACTGTTAATCCTACGCCAACTATAAAACCAATCGCTTGTGCTACCAAAGAAACTACGAAGCACATGAGAACGTAAAGTATTAATCTTTTAGCTTCGAATATTTGATTACTCATGAAATATACTATTAACGTATATATACAAGTTGCGGTTAATTGTACAGGAAAATCGGCAAATTTGTTAGCCAGATAAAATGATCGTAGTTTGTACCAACGATTGAAATGTTCTCGCATAAGTATTGGCAACTCCAAAGGTACTATACAAATGATGATCATGATACGTTAGAAAAATAACACAAATATATTCGTTGTTAATTAATCTTCAACCTTTTGCACACGCAAACTACTGTTTTTTTTTTGTTTTGTTTACTTGTATCGAAATTCATTAAAATTACTTTTAATTAAAATTCATTTCAAATGGAAACATTTGCAAAGCATTGGAAATTCGTTAGTATATTCAAATTCAAATATTATTCGATGTGTGCAAAAGGTTGAATGTTAATTTTACGTATATGTAGAATAATGAACATAAAAGAAGACAACAAAAAAAAAAATAGAAGACGTTTACTTACGAGTTATTAACGTAGAACTGAACGCACTGAACATTAAAAACATCAGATTAAAAAATAGTAAATTAAAATTATCTAAAACGTATGTGGCGTCTTGGCCAATCCTGAAAAATATTGCACCAACTATCAATGCGATTAATAAATGCATCGATATCCGTGTTAGGGTTAATATCTGTTTGCAATAAAAAAGAAATGAAAAATATTAATCATTGAACTATTGTCTTGTACAAATGAAAATGAGGAAAAGAATTTAAAAAAAAAAAAAGAAAACAAAACAAAATGTGTGTGCAACCGTTGATTATTACCTTGTCGCGTGATAATTTAATTGCATTTCTTCTAAGAAGAACGTGAAATTGTTTCCAAAATCCTGTAGCATAATAAGTCGTATGTTTGTATTCAACTTCAAATGAAGGTACACGTATATTCGTCTGTTGTAAAACTTTCGAAGAAGCTGACATGTGCGTTACGATGATTTCTTCGGTTTTACCTAAACTTAATATCACCGATGATCTCCAAGTATTACTTTTTCCATTCTCAACAGATTCGACTAATCTCGATAGATGATCACCATAATCCCCGTTACATATCTCTATTACTGGAAATAAATATCAAAATCTAAATAAATTATCTTATGCACGTTTATGACTGACAATTATGAGTTATCTCATGTTAATTTATTTAATAATATATATATTTGAATATATGATTAAATTCAATTAACTGTTTTTACTATATAGGAATCTTAAAAAGTATCATGATAGTTTACGTGTTAAATTGTATTATTAGGGTGAATCAAAAATTCGTGCGTTTTTATAAATGAATATTTTCAAAGTTACAACACAATAAATGTATGTTTTTAAATGAATATTTTCA